TTAGAGCAGCAGCGGAATTTGGGGAACTGAGGTAACTGTTAGGACGGGCGGACCATGAGGTCCTGGGGGGCGGAGCCAAAAGTGTTACTTTAAGCTCTAGAATATTCCGAGGCCTCTGCACAAGTGCAGATTTAACCCATTAGTGTGAATTCACAGAGGACCACTCGAAGAACCAGAGTTACAGGTAAGTAACCTTTCTTTTTTAGCTGCAGTACAGCGTTTTAACCACTACGCCACGAGGCTCCTACATGAATTTGATCCATCTCTGGGAGGCAGTGGAAGACAGGAGGGCCTGGCGTGCTCTGGTCCATGGGGTCACATGACTTAACAACTAAACAACAACATAAATAGCAAGGTATAAATAAAATGGTTATCTTTTTTGACTGGACTTTTCTGTCTTTTCAGTGGAAAGAGGAATGTGTGCCCCTCAAGTATGCTTTCTCTAATTTGATCATATTCCATGGCCACTGTGTTTCTATATATGAAGGGAAGCACTTGCTTTGATTGAAAAATGTTATAGGTCTGGCATCTCTAATAGCTGATCCCTGATAAATTAAAATACTGGTCACTTGCAGACTTTTGTTTTTGATCCATGGGGAGGTATACTGGTAGTACTTAAGGGGAATGCATCTTTTTTGGTATCACTGCCATACTTATAGCAGTAACACTTTCGAGCTGAGATAAATCCAGTCTTGAGCACCATGCCATGTCCTTCCCTAACCTGCATAATTACTGTGTTGTAATATAATGTATACTTTGGCAAGATTCTTATGAGCCTAGATTCCTGAGTATATCATTGATATGGTGGTGATTTTAAGCCTCTTAATATGCTTCAGTAGTTGTCTGTCTGTCTTTTGAATCCAATTGCAAATGTAAATGGTGAAATCTCAGTTCAGCTACTGCCCCAGAAGCATTGAACTCTTTCATCACCTCTTCAGTTTGTTTTGGTAAATAGATGAGAAAAGAGCTATCTCATCCACAAATAGATATAAGTATATGTTTTCTTTTCCCAGGATATATTCCATATATTTTAGGGTTCTTACAAATGTTTTCTGATATAATGGTGTGACTATCCTATATGAGTAGGTGTGACTATCCTATATGAGTAGCTTGTTTGGAGGAGTTTGATTGGAGTCCAGAATACAAGTAGAACTCTAATTCAATAAAATTGTATAATGATACCACTACAATCTGCTGCATATCAGATAGTACAAGGGGCTAGAAGCGCAGAACGAGTAATGTCCTCAGAACCAATAAGTCAATTTGATTTCATTCTGCTACCTAAACATTAATGTAAATCAAATTGTAACTTTTGGTCCATTCCTCTCTGGTAAACAAAACATTCCTGTCGAGATTATCAGGACACACTTACTGACCTCATAATCCCAGTAACAAATAACCAGTTACTTGTAATTGAATTACTTTTCTGGTATCATAGATACAGTTACATTGACTAAAAAATCCCATCTGGTTGAACTCTGGCCATTATATTACAAAGTAAAGTAACTTAATGAGGGGAAGCTTCAGTCTTTTGAGGTGTAGCAGTAAATTTTTTAGTTGTGTGTGTATGGCCTGATGCTGGCACATTTGAAAAAAGAGGTGCAAATGCTGGCACATTTAAGAAAGAGGAAATTAAACAGTTTATTTGAAAAAATGTAACTACAATTATTAACTAAGGGGGTGGGGTAGGGTACTTGAAATCCTTAATTATTTAAGGATTAATAATTTTTGCAGGCACAACCTCAGGCTCAGATTATGTACCCAGCAAAAATAAGTGATACACTTTTTCTAGACTTTATTACTTCAGCCATAAGGGAAGAGTTGCATATGAAAGAGCATGCAGCTAAAAACAAAATTAGTTGCAGAGAAATCCAAGCTGTGCTAGTTTTCTGTGTGAATTGGGTTGATTTCCTTGAAATAATCTTCAACACCCAACCTTCAGTGCTATATTAGAATGAGTATGGTCCAGGACAAGTGTTTTAAGGAACCTTTTTAAAGGACCTTTTTAAAGAAGCTATGATAACTTGTGGTACTTTTCAGGTTTTTCTTCTTACTGACATTCCCTTCTGTCCTTGCAGAAGAACTACAGTCTCTTGTTAAGAAACTCCCAATGGACCACTTCTTGAACCTAACAGCCATCTCCCAGTACTGGGCAATGGATCCTGATATTCAGCACCACTATCAGAAATTAGGCACCACCTTGAAGATGCTATCCAAGAAGATCCATCAGATTGTCTGCCGCCTTCTCAATCTGGCCAAACGCTGTCACAGGCAACCTCACTTCAGGCTTCCGAAGGAGAGGTCTGGTATATTAATGTATGGGCTAGCAGGGAAATAAGTACGTCTTGAACCACACTTCTCCATCTGAGACCCTACAGTGCCTACAGCACTCATCATACCTACTCAAAATAGCCAGTGATCTGGAATTGTGGAAGTTTGTTTGTTTGTTTGTTTCCATGGGGATCCAAGGCAGCTCACAACAGCTAAAACTGTGCAACAATCAACAAAATGCCATATAAATAACATATTAAAAATAATTAAACATATGTCATGGTTAAAACCAGGAGTAAAAACAATTTTAAATGATTTTTAAAGCATTTAAAAATCTCTTTAAGTTTTATGTGCCCATGTATCTGGAGGGATACAGATTGGGAGAGGTAATGTTCCTTAAATTCGTGATTTTTTTATGCTTCAGCATTTATGAAATCTGTGTTGGATTCTTGCAGCCATTATTTTGTTGGGTACTTGTGGGAATTGCAGTCTGGGCCACACAATATCAGATGGTAGGTGGGCTGCATATGTGTGTGCCATATACTTCTGAAACTGTAATCTTCTAATTTTCCTCTCACTTGTAAAGTAGCATATTGCCAAAGTATAGAATGCAATGATCTCAAATGAAAGGTTCTTATGGAAGACACCAATTAAAATAGGAAAATAGGCCGGTTACGTGTCCATTATTTGAAGTGGAAGTATGAATTGGGGGGGATATAGATGGAGGGGAGGTTTAAATCTGTCCTTCCCATGCATAGTGAACACAATTCCGATCAGGCTCCATCTCATTTATTTGTAAGGAAGTAAGCCTCAGTTGTATGCAACACAGTCAAAATAGCATATATTTTAGCTCTAGGTGATAGTTGTGATGATCAAAATTTAACAAAATATATCCTTTTATGTAAATATATATGTAGATAATTTTTAATTCTTAGCAATTTTTTAATAATAACAAGAAATGGAAAGTGTTAAACATGAAATCCACTTGCTATAATCATTCTGTACAGTAGATACATTAATAACTGAGATGAAAACTTAATCATCCAGTGAAGTCTTTGGTTGAATGCAGAAACAATTTCATCATTCTGTTTAATTTTCAAGTTTTTAAAAACAACAAAGAAAGGATATTGTACTGTGGTTGGTATTTTTAACATTACCTTTTGGTATTCTTACTGTCTTTTAATTAAGCACTCAAAACTCCAATTTTAGCTACCTCCGTTTACAGAGCTTGACTGATATTACTTTTTTTAAAATATTTTTAAGTAATACAAAATACAAAGTACAAACTATAATAATTGTGCTCCCCAGCACCATCAGGACCTCCTGGAGAACACCTCATTGTCCTCTTTTCTAGAATTGCATTGATCCTTGTGTTGGGACTTTACCTTTTCCTCTTATTAGCACAAATTCAATAAATCTACCCCATATATCATAAAAATATCTTTTTTATCTTCCCTTTCTTAACTTTTAGAATACAACTCAATTTATCATTTATAGCAAGATTCCAAACTTCATTGTACCATCCTTCCAGTTGAAATTCATGTTTAGATTTCCAGTTCCTGGCTATAATTAATTTTGCAGCAAACAATAAATTAGTAAGCAATTCTCTAATTGTAACATCTAGATCTTCAGTATCAAATATTGATAAAGCAATTTCTGGATTCAGCTTTGTATCTCTATCAAAAGTATCTCTTAATTCCTTAGTAATTAGTTTTCAAAAATTTCATACCCTTTCACACATACACCACAAATGAAAATATGTACCAATTTCATATTTCCAACAAACATTTGAGTATTTATTATTTATTTTACTCAATATAAAAAGGTAAAAGTAAAGGTTCCCCTTGACAAATTTTGTTTCAGAGGTAGACCATTCATGTCTTTTCTATCATATTCTTTTCTCCAGGACGATGATACCCAGTACCTCAACTACTTTTATCAGGGCTGGGTTTCCACACCTTTCACTGGTAGCCTTCTTCTGGAAATATTGCCTTGGTTGCCTTCTTCTGGAAATATTCTAGCAGATTAATAACCTTCTTAAACTGAGGTACTCAGAACTGGCCACAGGGTTACACGTGATTTCGACCAAAGCAGAATAGAAAGGTAAGATTACTTTCCTTCATCTGGACACTACAGTTCTGTTAATGCAGCCTAGAACTGCATTTGGGAGGGGCTTTTTGAGGATGGTGTTGCTTATGTTTTGTTTATGGTCTACTAAGGTGCCAAGGTCCTTTTCATACAGTATGTTCTGCTGGTGGTGTAGGTATCATCTATTCCATAATTATGCATCCAGTTTATCCTGTCTGGATGTAGAATTTTAAATCAATCCCTGTTGAAACTCGTTTTGTGTTCTGGCTATTCCTGCAATTTGTTAATGGTATCTCAAATGTTGATTCTGTCTTTGGAAATATTAGTTAACTCTCCCAGTTTGGAGTCATCAGATTTGATGCTAACTCCTGCATGTCCTCATCCAAGTGTCATTTATAAAGGTAATAGGAAATGCTGGGGCCAGGACAGAAGTCTGTAGTACCCTCACCTGCCACTTCTCTCCAGAATGCTGAGGACCTCTTGGTGAACACTTTGGGGATGTTACCCATCAACCAGCTGCAAATTGACCCAACAACAGCAGTAAAAAGGTAAAGATTCCCCTTGACAATTTTTGTCCAGTCGTGTTCGACTCTATGGGGCTGTGCTCATCCCCGTTTCCAAGCCATAGAGCCAGCGTTTGTCCGAAGACAATCTTCCGTGGTCACATGGCCAGTGCGACATAGACACGGAACGCTGTTACCTTCCCACTGAGGTGGTCCCTATTTATCTACAGTGGTGCCCCGCATAGCGATGTTAATCCGTTCTGGATTAATCGTCGCTATGCAAAAACATCGCTAAACAGATCGAAAAACCCCATAGGGACGCATTAAACTTAGTTTAATGCATTCCTATGGGGCCCAAACTCACCGTTCAGCGAAGTTCCTCCATAGCGCCGCCGTTTTCATGCCCTGGGTAAGCGAGGGCAGGGCACGAAAACACTTGCAGTGGCCATTTTGGGCACTCGGTGGCCATTTTGGAACCACCGATGAGCTGTTCTGTAAACATCACAATGCGAAGAACAGTAAGCAAAACGCTTACCAATCATCGCAGTGTGAGTTTTTACCTATCTAAATGTCACAATGTGATCACTTTTGCAATCGCAAAAGCAACATCGCTGTGCGGATTTGTCGTTAAACGGTGCGCTCGTTAAGCGAGGCACCACTGTACTTGCATTTGCATGTTTTCGAACTTCTAGGTTGGTGGGAGCTGGGACAAACGACGGGAGCTCACTCCATCATGTGGATTTGATCTTACGACTGCTGGTCTTCTGACCCTGCAGCACAGGCTTCTGCAGTTTAGCCCACAGCGCCACCACATCCCCTATTTTACGCAATATAACTGGTGTTAAATACTATCTTAAAACTATTTTATATAAATTTTATTTCATTTTCACTTACATACGTCATAAAATCAGTTTCCATATCATTTTCCTATGTTCTTGTTTATTTCTTTTTTAAAGTCTTGCTCCCATACTTGTTTCAATCCTTCACCCTCAGTCTCATCTTCCTCTAACTCCAAAATTATTTTATATATTTTACTTACTACATCTTTCACTGAATCATCCTTTTGTATATCTTTATTGGTTAAAAGGAATTGTTCATATTTCATATATTCTCTACATTTGTTATTATTCTTTATCCATTGTTTAGTCCATTTCTGTAATGGTTCATACTTTAAACCATGTTAAATCCTTACTTTGAAGAATTTGTTCCTTTTGTTTCTTCAATCTCATTTTCCATCCAGTCTTTTAATCTACTCATCTACTTTACCCCAAATAATTTTTCAGAGCTTTCAGTTTAGCAGGAAAATTTTCTATTTCAGTTACTAACCTTAATGGTGAATTAGGGGAGCATAGACTTTTCTTATATTTATACCATTTTGTTGTTTAGTCGTTACGTTGTGTATGACTCTTCCTGACCTCATGGACCAGAGCATGCCAGGTCCTCCTCTCTTCCAGAGCTGGGTCAAATTCATGTTGGTAGCTTCGATGACACTGTCCAACTATTCCATTTCCCACCAAATTAACCTTTCCGGATTATATTTGATTTCCCCAATAAATCTTAATTGATTAGCCATATTCTGTTTTTTCATCTTGTACCAATATTTTTTATTTGTTCTAGCTTTTTTACCTTCATTATATCTATTAATCAATCTTTGCCTGAACTTCATTTTCTGATAATTGTATTGGTAACCTCATAAATAAAAAAAATTAACCTTTGTAAAATTATCATTTTTGTCAAGACAATCCTTCCAAACCAAGAAAGTTTCAAATTAGAATATTCTTGTAACTTATTTTTAATGTCCCTTTTTAATTTATTATAATTACAGTGGTGCCCCGCTTGACTATTACCACGTTAGACGAGGAAGTCGCTTAACGATGAAGTTTTTGTGATCGCTTTTGCGATCACAAAGCGGTTTTAATAGGGAAAAATTGCTTCATGGTGATCAGTTCCCTGCTTCAGGAACCGATTTTTCATTTAACGATGATCAAAACAGCTGATCGCCAGGCTTTCAAAATGGCTGCCCGCTGTGTAAAATGGCTCCCTGCTGTTTTTTAGGATGGATTCCTCGCATTACAGGCACCGGGAAAATGGCCGCCCTATGGAAGATCTTCACTGGACGCTGAAGTATTTCACCCATTAGAACACATTGAACCGTTTTTCAATGCATTTCAATGGGATTTTTACTTACGCTTGATGACGATTTCGTTCTACAGCGATTTTGCTGGAATGAATTATCCTCGTCAAGCGAGGCACCACTGTATTTTTTTATTTTCTGTGTATCCTTTAAAATATCTATACCCAAATATTTAATTGAATCACATATCTTAAAATCATATTTACCAACAAACAAATCCTGTTCTAATTTATTATGTAATCAATATCATTTCCAATTTTTGCCAATTTATTTGTGAGCCAGTTTTCCCCAAATTTTTCTAAATG